TATAAAAAAAAATAAAATTATATATATATATATATATATATATATACACAGCCTATATATAGTTACAGTTAAAATGTATTTTATTTAAAGTAATGAAAATGTTTTATGGTTTTCATTTTAGTTGACGATATACAGAAGAATATTAAATGTGAATATTTATTCGAAAGAAAGGCATTAAGGTTTGGAACAACGTGTGGCTGAATAAGTGATGACATGATGTTAATTTCTGGGTGAACTATCTCTTTAAAATAGCAGACAATGCCTGTGTGCCCTGGGTCAGAGTTCATCTTTCTCTCCTCTAATAGAGCATGTGACACCGGTGCCCTTTAACCCACAGTATCCTTTAGGCACCTTGTGCAGGTATTGTTGGTGATTGTCTTCAGCAAAGTAAAATTCAGTGTGCTTTCGGATCTCTGTGGTGATCTCACCCAGGCCTTTCTTAGTCAGAGCCTAGCAGAAAGAAGAAACAGGAACAGACACAGAGAAAGAGACGGTAAATGACGACACATTTTGACATCAAGAGAATAAACTTGATCGCTGTCTAGGGAGAAGCAGCTCATTTTGAACTGAAACACCTCTTTCTTGTGTTTGTGATGTTAAAGCCAGACAGAATGTCCAAAACTCTTGGACATGAATGAAGTTCTGTCTCCCTCTAGGGGGCACATCAATAAACTCCAATAGAAAATGACTTAAGGTCAGAACAAAACACCTTTGAACATCAATCACAGTATTTCTAAAGCTCACATTTAGACCTGAGGGAGGTGTCTCTACAACAGAAAGAAAGAAAGAAAGAGAGAAGAGCGTTTTTTTTTGCTGGCTTTGAGCAATCACAAGTGTCCTTTTTGAAATGTATGTAGTTTCATAGCTCAACCACTAGGCGATGACAGAAGTCTGCTTCATTTACTCCGCTTCTGATCTCATGTCTCTGTCTATCTCTGTAATATAAGATGATTATTTTAGAAGGCAAAAAAGCTGACAATTTTCTTACAGGATTATTACATGGTTAAACGTGCTACAGTGAACAGGAAGACGAACACTCAAAAAAACATTGAGCCAGGTTAGCATAAAAAGAGGACCAAAAAAAAAAAAAAAAAAAAAAAAAAAAAAAAAATTGGTGCCAGTGTGTGAAAATTATGATTACATATTTATACATAATTTTATAATAATAATAACTTCATTATTATTAATTATAAATAAAATGCTGTCATTTTTTATTTCAGTCCAATTAGGCCAGTTACTACTACATTTATGACTAATATTTGGCTCAAAATTATCAAAAGTTCCCCCCCCCCAGAGCACATTGGTTTCTTAAATAAACAAATAATTTAAAAACAATTAATTTTCTTTTTGCTAGGCCTATATTGGCAGGTCAAGGCCAAATCTAAACTACTGGCCTGAATGGGCCAGCAGAAATGAAAATCCATATTGTTGAGCCCAGTTTATGAACCTTTAAACTGCTAATTATTTTAAATAGTGTGCATTAAAAGCAGAGGAAGTATGATTCTGGGAAAAAATGTGATGTGTGTGTGGATATGGTGTCAGAAAGCTGGCACTGTCAGAGCTCAGTGGTCTGTGTCTCTCTGGTGGTGGACAGTCCATTTCTGTGGACAGTCAAGCAAACAGAGACAGAAAGAGAGAGAGACAGAGAGACAAGGCAAAGGAGAGAGAAAGAGATATTACATAAGCATTTGCATATCTGAATATGCTTCATGTGACTGATGACTCAACTAATGTCACTGTTTCTGCATTGACAAACACACACACACACACACACACACACAGACACACGCATGTTATTATTAGTCCAACCATTTTCTAGTATATTTACGGTCTTCACTAACAGCAGATTTGCGATCATTCCCAGAATTCCCATCATTTTCCTACCAGATATAATTTCTTTTATATTTCCCTGAGTGCAAACTCACCTTATGTATAAGACTATTTACACATACACACACACTCACAAGCCTGGACATGTGTACTTTAACACAGTCCCTGTCTACGTTTTAACTGCAACAGCTTGGCCTACTTTTAACATCACAACATAAATAATAAATATTAATGCAGCTGTCTACGAACTAAAAAGCTATACTGCAAAATTCCTGAAACCGTGATCATTTTAGCTTAGCTTGCTAGCTTATTGCTTCTCGTTTAGAGTCTCTGTTAAAAGCTACAGCATCTTCCACATATTATAAGCTGTACAGGTCTGCTGCACCAACAGAAAAGCATATGTAGGTGTATATATATAAATCTATATATATGTGTGATTCACTTTAGTCCAAACATAGAGGAAGAAGGCATAATGTAAAAAAACAGTGCAAAGGCCAAGGCTGATCTTTGCATGTTCTGTGCACTTATGCACATCTCCACACATGCTTAGTTTGCATGTAAGCATGTGTGTGTGTGTGTGTGATATGATATAGTCAGGAATCCATTTTGTCATCCTTGGCTGTTCCTGCATTTTGTGAGAGGGAATAAGGCAGCGGAGGGTCATGTGACCTGTGAGCGGTGACAGATCAAAGTGTGAGAGCATGAGCGTCTATGTGTTTGAGATTACATGACATGGAACGGAGAGAGAGATTTTGACTTTAGATGGAGTGCTTCTGGAAACCTGAGCTAGGCAATGCTAGAGAACAGCATTTTGGATGAAAATTCAGTCTATTTAGGCCTGTTCCTACTACATTATTGATTATTATATGGCCCTTTTCATTATTAGAATCAGCTAACATGCTTAAAGGGATAGTTCACCCAAAAAAGAAAATTACCCCATAATTTACTCACCCTCAAACCATCCTAGGTGTATATGACTTTCTTCTTTCAGACAACTTTCTAATTTGTGACCAGTGTTTTGCGCTCTACTCTGCACTTCCACATTCGTCACCTCTCACCGGACAACAGTTAGCGGAAGCTAGAGATTACCATTTATAAGGTTTTAAATATGGATATTTATCTTACAAATATGCATCGATTCACTTCAGGAGGCTTTTATTAACCCCCCGGAGTCGTGTGGAGCACTTTTTTTTATGAAGGATTGGCACAGTTTATTGGACTTCTATTGGACTATTGAATATCACCCATTCACTGCAATTATAAAGCTTGGAAGATCCAGGACATTTTTAAATATAACTCCGATTGTATTTGTCTGAAAAAAGAAAGTCATATACAGCTAGGATGGCTTGAGGATGGGATTTTATCTATCAGGAATTGATTAGATTGTTAAAAAAAAAAAAAACTTGATAATTTGAGCCAGAGAAAGTGACATTTTACATAAAACTCTTTATTTTGCTTTTCTATGGATTATAAAGGGAACAAAAACAAGACTAAAGACAATATAATAATAGTAATAATAATAATAATAATAATAATACATTTAAAAAAAGACGTGGGTGCTACATCTACATGGTATATTAATTGAATAAAAAAAGTTTTTTACATAAAAATGTTACATTTCACAAAATTTATTTTGATAAATAACTTGAATAATATAAAAGCATTAAATTGTACATAAGATAAAAATATAAATAATATAATGCAAATAAGTAAAATTCTAATGTAAGCAAAACTATAATGTAAATAACCTCAAATCACATTTGTGCATTGACTTTTTCTTAAAAAAAACAACAAAAAAAAAACATTATTTAATCTGGGCCATGAAGAGATGAATCTCAACACCCCAGCCCCCCCCCCAACCATAAAAAAATAAATAATTTTTTTTTTGATGTGTGCAGCATAACACAAGCAGATAAACAAAGAAAATTCATAAACTTCCATTCAAATCCCCAAAATAACTCCTCTGAGAAAGTGCTTCACTGCAGCAGAATTGTACCTCTACTCTATCTTCCTGTGTCTCGCTCCCTTTCACTACTGAATAAAAACTCTTTGATATTCTGCAAATTCCTACATTTTATGACAGCACCCCTCCCCTCCTCAGCCACAGCGCTAAGAGTGTTTCTTCCTCTCCCACTCCCGCTTTTCCTTCTCACTGACTGCCCTCACTGATGGCAGAGTTTTGGGAGACTCTGATGGAGTGCAACTCTCAATGGGTGCTAATAATTCATTTCCCGTCTGCGTGTGATGTCGGTGTCTGATTCATCACCTGAATTTGACCTGATGGAAGTGTCCTCAAAAAGGCCTCATCAATCTCTTCACACTCATCACGTCTGTCTTTCCTTTCAGTGTCCCTCTTCAAATTCTCACTCTCCACTGCCAGACAATCAGCTGTGCTTTTCCATAGTATGACGGATGCAAACACACACGTACACTCGTCTATATTTTAACAAGACTCTGAACATGTCTAATCTCATCACTGCTGCTTATGTAACCAAGCCGTTCTTCGAAACCACTCCAGATTCGCTCTGCCCTCAGAGAGAGAAGGATCAGGAGAGAAGCACAAGCATCAACTGCAGGGAAAGGCTATGAAGTCTGGGAGATGTGTTGCTTTTTTAATAAACATATTTAAAATAGATTTCATGCAATGTGGAGCCATTCGTTCCATACAAAAATTGTCATTTCACCTATTGCACAATATTCACACACCATACAAAATACTCATGATAGAATTTCTGGAATAATTTTTACTGTTATTTACACATTCAATACCAGTTCTCAAATTATACTGATTATTATTTAAGCGACATAACTGTCATACATACTACCATTCAAAAGTTTGGGGTAAGTAAGACTTTAATTCAGCAAGGATGCATTGGATTGATCTTATCAATGTGAGTGACAGTAAAAACATTTATAATGTTACAAAAGATTTATATTTCAAATAAATACTGTTGTTTCAAACGTTCTATTCATAAAGGATTTACTTTTACACAAAATATTAAGCAGCACAACTGTTTTTAACATTGACAATAGTAAGAAATGTTATTTGAGCTCCAAATCAGCATATTAGAATGATTTCTGAAGGATCATGTGACACTGAAGATTGGAGAAATGGCTGCTGAAAATTCAGCTTTGCCATCACAGGAATAAATTACATCTTAAAATATATTCAAATAGAAAATAGTTATTTTGAATTTTAGTAGTATTTGTGATCAAATAGAATTTTTGATCAAATAAATGGAGCCTTCTGCCTCACTACATCTGTGTACATTTCAGCTTGTGGGGTCATTGGGGCCCATCGACAGCACGTCCGTTTCGGTCCCCTGATCTGATTGCGTCCCTTTAACCACAGCTGCCTCCCACAAGCCTGACCTTTCACCCTGAAGCACACAAGGCCAAGGCAAATAGTGGTCACCCAACCTCCCTGTCCACACCTCATTCCCCTCACGTCCAAATCACATATGAGCCCTAGAAGCAAGACCAATGACATGAGGAGCAAAGGGTTACCACAGTGATAGTTACCCAAGCTCTTGCTTCTCACAAAACAAATATTCATCATGCTAGTTTGACAGGGGATAACAGTTTTTTTCTTCTCACCGGAGCTTACACTACGCCTACGTCCTACATCATCCGCTGGAAAAAAGCTAGAGGTTACGGTTTATAAAGTTTTAAATATGGATATTTTTCTTACACAAATGCATTAATATGCTTCAATCTCCCAGAAGCCATGTGGAGTACTTTTTATGATGAATGGATGCATTTTTTTGGGCTTCAAAATCTCAACCACCATTCACTGCCATTATACAGCTTGGAAGAGCTAGGACATTTTTTAACATAACTCTGATTGCATTCGCCTGAAAGAAGAAAGTCAGGTTAAACTTTATTTTAAGGTGTCCTTGTTATAGTGCAATTATACATTTAAGTACTGAGTAATATTAATTAACTACATGTACTTACTACATGGTTAGGTTAGGATTAGGGTTTGGCGTAGGGTTGCTTGCATGTAATTATGCATAATTAATTGTTATTATAATAGTAAGTACATGTAACATGTGTAACAAGGACACCTTAAAATAAAGTGTTACCGAAAGTCATATACACCTAGTATACACCTTGGATGGTTTGAGGGTGAGTAAATCATGGGGTAATTTTCAATTTTGGGTGAACTATCCCTTTAAATAAAAAAAATAAAAAAAATAGTAATGAAATCTTGATAAGTAGTAATAAATAATGAAATCTTAAGGAAAATCTAAAAATAAAAAATGTAGCATCATGGTTATGTTTGAAGGGGTAGGACTAGAAGTAATAAAATATCATTAACTCATTATAAAAGCAACAGAATTCAATGGAAAGTTTGTGTGTGTGTTTCGAGATATTGCACCTCCTGGTACATATGCTTGCTTCTCATGGCCAGCTCTTGCTGTTCTGGGCTGTAGGTGTAGATGGCAGAACGATACTGCGTGCCATGATCATTCCCCTGTGCCATTCCTATAAAATACACACACACACATATATATAAATGCTTTAGACCCCTTTAAAAACTCACACCCCAGAAATTTGCAGTCCTGTCAGGCACTCTGTATACATCAATCTTTTCAATGACGTTTCTAATATTAGCAAGCAACATCCAGTTCTGTTCTTATATTACTGCAAAAAAGGATGGAAAATATTATGTCTCTGAATAATTTTCCTCTTGTTAATATATGGACACGTTTGTGTTTTCCAGTATTCCCTTGTCATTTTCCTCCACAGTGAATTTACTGTCTCTCTTGTATTTTTCTGCAAAACTGGATGTCGGCCATCTTGCCATGAGCTCTCTACCGCATAGTGCCTTCTGTAGCTCTCTATTCAAAGGCCAAAGTCCTGCGTTCTGATTGGCTGATCCTCCAAAGTGCCAACGCGACAGTCACTGACCTTCCCTGTGACCCCGAGGCCTGAGTGTCATCACAGCCACCAAACACATCACACAGCCAAGTAATACTGGAAAATGTTTCTAGAAAGAAATGTGGATTTGGACACTTAGGGTGCTTTCACACTAGCACTTTTGGTGCGCACCCGGGTTCGACTGACGTCAGAGTTCAGTTCGTTTGGATGATGTGAACGCTGTCTTCCGAACTCGGGTGCGCACCCGCGAACCGTACCCGAGTCTGCTTAAAAGGGGTGGTCTGGGGTTTGGACCCAAATAATATAATGTGAACACAGTCCAGCGGGGGCAGGGGGAGGGGAGAGCAATCGAACTCGGGTTCGGACCAAGCAATCGAACCAAGTGTGAAAGCACCCTTAATTAACACTTGGTTACCATCTGCACAAAAATGATGCAGGAACTTCTCTGAGACATTTTGCAATTACTTTTAAACATCTAGTGGAACAAAGACAGTTAAAGTCAGTTAACACAGGTGTACTATTAACTAACTACAGACATAATCCACCTACATTTGACAATCAGAGTCCACATACTTTTAGTCTGCATTTTAAAGGGATAGTTCACCTTCAGTTGCTGGTCCCCATTGGCTTGCACAGTGCTTTTTTCCATACTATGGAAGTCAAAGGGGACCAGCAACTGAAGGTGAACTATCCCTTTCAACAGTATACATTAACATTCAAAAGTTTGGGATTTGTAAGATTTTTTTCATATTTTAAAATAAGTCTCTAATGATCACCAAGGCTGTTTTATTTAAAAAAATAAAAAAAAACAGCAAACATTACTATTGTGAAATATTATTACAATTTTAAATAACTCTATTCTGTTTGAATCTATTTTAAAATGTAATTTATTCCTGTGATTGTAAAGCTGAGTTTTCAGCAGCCATTACTCCAGTCTTTAGTGTCATATGATATATCAGAAATAATTTAATATGCTGCTTTCTGTGGGTTTTCTTTAAAATAAAATCCTCATAGTTTGATATTTTGTTATATATAGCAATTCAGACGTTTTTAAGTTTGGTTTAAGTTTGGCAAATACATTTTAGGGTCACTGTATATCAAAACCCTTAAATCTATCTCTTCTCATATGAGCAAAAAAGGAGTTAAAAACAAAAAGGAAACAGTGAGCACTCAATGTACTCCACCCGAGACAGTGGAGCGCTTCTTTTTACAGCCTCAATCACAGTGCTTAGTTATTATTGACGATCCTCCCTGTTCAAGCTGAATAATATACAGAATCTCTCCTCGCAACACACAAACGCCGCACATGAACCGAGAGTGCAGAACGCTGCAGATGTGTTGTCAGCGCACAAACAGGGTGAGAGCAGAAAGCTGGGCAGGAGCTGACTCCATAAATGTCACACGCAGAGGTCAAGAAGCATCACCCTTTGCTTTAGATGGAGGGAAGAAAGGAAAGATTTACTAAGTGTACTTGTGAGTGAATAAGCTGTACACGCACACAGCTGAAAGCACACACACAGCATCATCCAGACAGATACCAATCCTCTAAGGCTGTTTTGACCAATCCAGACATTTCAAATATCAGCACTTATGTGGCTCTCCTGGTGGGATGACGAGGAAGGAGGGGAAAAAAAGATTGGAACACACACACACACACACACACACACACACACACACACACACATACACACACACAGCATCATCCTGACAGATACCAATCCTCTAAGGCTGCTTTAGACCAACCCAGGCATTTCAAATATCAGCACTTATGTGGCTCTCCTGGTGAGATGACGAGGAAGGAAGGGGAACACTTTATTTTTTGGAAGGGTGAATGAAAAGGAAAAGATGAAAAGCATATATTTATTAGTGTTCAGGTTTGTTGAAAAGGGCTTGAGGGACATTAGTTCTCAAGTCATAAGAAATAAACACAGATGTTACTTAAAAGGACAGTTCACCCCAAAATGAAAGTTGTGTCATAATTAGGGCTGTCAGTCGATTTAACATTTTTAATCTAATTAATTACATGATGTGGCAATTAATCTAATTAACCACAAATTAAATTTGGCTGTGAAAATACCCCCAAAAGATAATTTAAAGCCATTATTGTGTTAAATGAGAAAAGTATGAAGTAGATATAACAAAAAGTAGCTTCAGAAAGAAATATTTTATTTGATTCAACATGAAATTTATTACACATAAACATTTAGTCTACAACAGACTAACATTAACTATGGTACATAAAAGATAATTTGAGAAACGCCTCAGTATTTTTTGTTCATACAGTGAAAGTCATCGCCTAGTAACCAAATCAGCTTGGTTACCAACAGTCTTCCACATACCTTCTTTTATGTTCCACAAAAGAAACTAAGTCTTACAGGTTTGAAACGACATGAAGGTGAGTAAATGATTACAGAATTTTCATTTTTGGGCAAACTATCTTTTTTTATTGAAATTATACTCTAAATAAGAAACTAAAACTGCCAGTAGGCGGTGGTAAATATCTTTATGAGTAAGTAATCAAGTAATTTATTCTTTTGATTCGTTCAAACTGCTGATTCATTCAGGAATTACATAAAAGGCTCACTTTCTGAATGGGCCACTGAATAATTGGTTCACACGATTCGTTCAAAACGCGGATTCATTTAGAAACAAATCACTACTGTGTTGCTCAGAGACCCACAACAGTTCTACTGTGGCTTTATAGATAATATTTTCATTGGAAATATTGAGTAAAAACAGACAATAATATATAACACAATATTAACTTCCTATCTGTTGTATAAAATCACATTTGTACTCGTGCTATTCGAAACAAAAACAACACTTGTGTGATATTGCTCCCGCTGCTTATGTGATATCCCTTACCATATGACAAAAACTCATTCAGGGGCATTTTTTGCCCCAATATTTTACATTTTAAGGCCATATAACTGCATTATAGGCTACATCACGCAGTGAGTTGTTGCCCTTCATCATGTTCAGTGTTGGGGGTAACTCATTACAAGTAATGCGAGTTACGTAATCAGATTACTTTTTTTCAAGTAACTAGTAAAGTAACGTATTACCTTTTTAATTTACAAGAAAATATCGGAGTTACTTTTTCAAAAAAGTAATGCCAGTTACTTTGTTTTCCCATTTATTGACTGACAGCTCTCCTGTCCCCATATTGGGAGAAATCGGGAGTACAGAGGCGTTGTGTGCGTTGGGTGAACATGATGTTACTGTAGTCCTAGACTAAATGTGAATGTGCATTAATTCATCCCACTCACAAAAAACAGATTTAGTATTCATCAAAATGAATTAAAACAGTGAAATGCAAACTCAGAATATGACGCAAACCTGCAATAATTAAATATGTTAAATAACACAAATGTATCTAATCCCATTTTATTAACCAATATCTTTGCTGCTGACCTTTGATGATCCAGTTCAACCATACTAATAAGCAAAAATGACTTTAGAGAAACTAACAATTGTGCTTTGTTTTTTATTGCTGAAGAGTGTTTCTTCTCCTGCGTTCTACTGTACAGACGTGAATTTACTTTTGCTTCAGCCTGAGGTTTATTCATTACACTTTTTGGTGTGAAAGGGCTTTTACATTTGCTATAAATAGAACTTCTTATATTAAAAACAATCAAGCC